TGTGAACCAGGTAAACAAAGAAACTTTTTTTATCTTAAATCCAAAATGTTTATATTTTTTTGTTCAAGTTTGGTTCCATTATTTCATGTTGTTCTTTCCACAAATCACCTTTTTAACATCTGTATTCTCCAGTTAATCAATCACTGAATTAGTTACTGATTATTTCAATAATCGATTAATATTTTCAGTTCACCACCACAACAACAAGAGCTCCCTCAGTGCTTCCCATCTCTCCGGAAGAACAACAAGACACACCTGAGCACATCAGTTCAGGCTCCTTCATTCACCCACACACACTCACACACACTCACACACACACACTCCTGAGAGTCAGTCTTCTGCTCAGATCTGCAGCTTCAGGCTGAGAGTCCCTGAGGAATCAAACTAGCAACTCTTTCATCTGCAGGAAGAGATGAGGCGTGCGTACACACACACACACACACACACACACACACACACACGCACAAACGTTTGCGTGGCTATCTTTGTGGGGACTTTCCATTGACTTCCATTCATTTCTACAGCCTAAACCTGACCTTTACCCTTTTCCTAACCCTAACCAACCAAAACTCAATTCATACCTTAGCCCTAACTCTGACCCCTGACCCAAAAACAGGGTTTCCCCTTGAGGGGACCGGAGCAATTGGTCCCCACAACGTAGTATATGTCAGGAAAATCATCCCCACCAGGTATTACAAACAAACGCGCGCGCACACACACACACACACACACACACAGAGACTGCAGCTCCGATCCTCCAGCTGACCCGGACTGGGACCTCTGGGTCTAGCTCAGATCATGTTGCATCATAAAGACATGAACTCTTCATCACTCTGAACTCAAATAACCATCAGAACCTTCAGAACCATTTGTCCATCCAGTCCGGTTCTGACCCCATTACCAAGCTCAGGCTGGTGTTAGTGGTTTGAGTCCAGTAGGGTAGAAGGTGTGTGTGTGTGTGTGTGTGTGTGGGTGTGTGTGTGTGTGTGTGTGTGTGTGTGTGGATTAGAGGTGATTAGACACAAACAGTAATCTGAATTTGAATCTGGACCCAGACTAAATCCTTCAGATTAGGTTCAGTTTAATCTTCATCTCTCTGATGATGATGATGATGATGATGTCACAGCTTCAGCCAGGTCACGTGACCCTCTTCCTGACCTCAGCAGTTTCTCTTTTTGCCGCCCTGCACCTCATCTCCCAGGCTGCTGGTCCTCACCTTTACCCCCAGCTCACAACAGCCAATCAGCTGCCTGCTTGGTCAGAGTGGGCGTGGCTTAATCATGTAAACATGTTCTGATATTGGGTGTTTAAGTTCAGCCTTCAGCCCAGATTTCAGGCCTAGCTGCCTGATCATCACATTATAAACATATTGCCATGGCAACATTCAGCAGCAGCATCGCCATCCCATAATCTGCAGCGTCTCTTCATCTTAGGGTTCATCGTTCCCTCCAGATCTGTTCAGTCCACTTCAATCTGACTCCAGTTCATGCTTGGAAAGTCTGGTTCAGTTGGTATGAATGCTAAGCTAACTCCGGTCCTCCAAACCTCAGTCTGGGTTCGGTTGAAGTGAACTCTGGTTCTGTTTGCATGTGAACACCAAGCGGACCGCTGACTGCTCCAAAAGCAGGAAGTGGACTATAGCGCAGGGCCTTCTGGGTAAATACAACCACAGCTAAGGTGTTAGCCTAGCAATAGCAGTAGAAATGGCTCCTGGTCTTTAGCCTAAAGAGAAATCCTCCAAACACTAAAATCCTCCATCTTGTTTCCATCTGGTGAAGAAGGAAGTTGCTCTCAGTGTCTTCAGAGGTTTTTGTGTCGTTTCCTTCAGTGGTTCTTGGAGCAGCGCCCCCACAGGCCAGGAGGGGAACAGGTTGGTTTGACTCAGAGCAGAGAAAGAGAGAGAACCACAGCAGCTGGAGGTGGAGCAGATGATGGAGTTCTGGTTCCAGTAGAACCGGGTCGACTGGACCGTCAGAGGGGAACAGACTGAAAGTTCTGACTTTAACTTCTCGAACCAGTAAGGTCCAGACCGGGTAGAAAACTGGACCGGATCGTTCTGTCCAGGCTGCCGGACCTCAGCTGTGGATCCAGGTTCCTCTCCTGGAACCGATCGAACCAGAACCATCCAAATGTTATTTTCCTCAAGATCATTTTAAATATTTTAGATTTCTTCAAAATTTGGATAATTTTTAATGTTTCTGTTCTCTGTGGCTTCTACCTGTGGAATAATTAACTCAGCTCCTTTGTTTCTTAGTAACTGAGCTAGGTTAACTGTTTTTACAGTGCTAGAAGTTGCTATGTTAGTAAATTAACTGGTTAACCATCTTACAGAGCTAGTTAATGAAAAAATGAATGTATTACTAAGCCAGAGTGGTAACTAACCAGGTTGGTTCGTTAGCAGAGTAACTAATTAGAATCAGAGTAACTGATCAGAGCAGGTTAGTTACTCTGATTCTACTGGGTTTATTTAACTGGATCTAAATTCGGCTCTGTAATTCCATTAGAAATAATTACCGGTAGATTCATCAGAACTCTATTTGGTCGAAGTGGTTCTGAATAGCTCGCGTTTTCAAAGTTCTGTTCTGATGTGGTTCTTTGTGAGTAACCAGAACTCTCCAGTAGGTTCCGGATCAGAACCGCAGCAACTAGGACAGTTTGGACCGAACCGATGGTGACAGAGGGGCCCCTGAGGCTACAGAGGAAGACAGCAGAGTGTGTGTGTGTGTGTGTGTGTGTGTGTTTACAGTCACAGGGTCACGTGATGTAAAGTTGTTTTATGAAACATCAGCAGGTGACTCGGAACCGAGTCCAGATCAGCACAGAGCCTCCGTTCAGCTGACTGCGCGTTCATGCAAGAGCGTTCGTGCACATGTGCGCGTGTTCGTGGGTATCTCTGTTTGTCCGTGCGTGTGTGCGCGTGTCTGTGCCTGTGTTGGAATGTAAGTTATTCCACTGCAGGCTGAACCGAGAAGAACCCAGCTGAGCCGAACCGGAACTGGTCGGCATCTTCCAACAGAACCCCGCTGAGAGAAGACAGGCTGACATCAAAACTCCGAACCAAACCGAACCGCAGGTTCTGGTTCTTCACCCCTCAGTTCAAAGACCGGACTCTGTTCAAAACCCATTCACTTTAAAACTCGCTGCTCTCAGCTGAATTCAGCAGGCAGGCACACTAAAACCAGCAGAGACGGAACCGGAAAATGGTACCAGAGGGATATTTCAGAGCCGAATCACAGAACACCCCCTCTAGAACCGGCTCCTTTGAGAACCGGTCCTTTTATCCACAACATTAATGGAGAAAAGCAGAAAAATGGAAAAGTATCAGATTCCTGAAGTGAGTCTGGCGCGCTCCCGTCAGACACGCCTGGCTCGCGCGCTCCTTCATGCAGCTCGAGACAACTTGGATCCAGCAGAACCGAGTCTTACTCACCTGGACCAAGAGGTCTGTTTCGGATCCTGCTGAGTCCCAAAAGCCAGAGAAAAGTTGCGGCGAGCCAGAGAGAACCGAGCAGAACCCAGGCGGGACCAGGAGCTCCGAGATCCGAACAACAGGTCTGGCTGAGACCCCGCCCCGCTGAGCGGAGACCGGGCGGCGCCGGCCGGGCGACCCGCTTACACCCCGCCTCATGGAGCAGCAGGTATCGGTCCGGCCCGGACCCACAGGGAGGTTCTGGAATCATGTCGGGTCTGAGGTAGCACCAGGTCCAGAACCAGGACCAGATCAGGATGAGAACCAGATTAGAACCGGGTCAAAACTTTCTCTCCAGAACCTCACCCATCAGCATCAACATCTCCATCACAGAGTTCAGCATCCAGGTGAAAACATACCTGAGCTGACGTCATCAAACGTTCTGACCACGTGACTCTGACTTGTGGGAATTTGCTGGTTCTGATGGAAAGACTCCAGAACTCTTGGTTCTGTTCAACCAGAACCTCCAGAGTTCTGGAAGTCCTGACTGAAGTTCTGGTACTAGGTAGAAAACTGGGTCAATGTTGATGATCAGAACCAATGACCTTTGACCTTATTGGAAACAGAACCAGCAATTTGAAGCTTTAGCAGCAGAACTGAGCCAGAGGTTCTGATTCTGATGGATCTGTCCCAGCTGTGTTCTGGGCTCAGGACTGGTTCTGTTCTGGTACCACATTCGCCTCTGGTTCGGATGATCCAGATCCCAATTCTGAGTTGGACTGATTCTGGTGGATCCAAACCGGGTCAGAGGGAACCGGTCCAGACAGAGGGGAACCGGATCCGTCCGAAAGTGGGTGGAGCCAAAGATCCTCAGAAACCAAACAGATTAAATTATTGGAATATTTATTTCCAGATTATTTCAATTTAAAAAACAAATCAAAACAGAGCACAGGGAGGGGTTCTGGAGTCCTAGCAGTACTGGTTCTGGAGAAGATCTTTTTGTTTGGGAGGAACCAAACACTTCCCAGGAATTCTGCAACTCGGTTCTGTTCATGGTTCAATGGCCAGAACCTTAAATGGTTTGGTAGAACATAAAACAGATTCCTCGGTTCCTCCAAACCTTCCAGATCAATCCAGAACTCTCCAGAACCGGACCAGAGGCTGAAACAGCCGTTAACTTACCAAATCAAATGGATTCTGGAGCCAGGAACACCTGATCTGGTTCTGATGTGGTTCTGGATGAGAACAGAAGTGGGCGGAGCCTCACCTTCTGGTCAGACCGCTTTTATTTTGAAAAACCAGACAAACGGCAGTGTCAGAAGAAAACATTTTATTTACTGTAAAATAAGGCCTCTTCATCATCATCTTCAGCTCTGATTGGTTGCTGAGCAGCTCAGCTCTGATTGGTTGCTGAGCAGCTCAGCTCTGATTGGTTCACACAGTTACAGTCAAAATGGCTCATTACAATCGACAGCTGTCACGTGACCTCTGACCTCTGAGTTGGATGCATCAGATAAACCGCTTCGGCCAGGTACAGGACACCTGCACGCCCCCAGGGACGTGCACGCTCCCAGGGACGTGCACGCTCCCAGGGATACGTGCACGCCCCCAGGGACGCACGGTCCTGGGAGTAACAGCTGTGACCAGCAGCAGCTTCCTGTCTGATTGGAGCTCACCTGAGAGGGGGCGGAGTCATCTGCAGGTGGCCAATCACAGGTAGGGAACAGAAGCAGACTGATTCTGACTGCTGATCCATCAGTGTACTGGTTCAGGTTTAACCGGGTCGTTTGCAGGTGAAACTCTGCCCCCTGACAGGTGAGGCTCGGCAGCTGAAGCAGCGACTGCAGCATCATGGATGACATCAACATGTAATAATTAATAACAATCAGTTACTAAAAGCTTTGAAATGTGGGACCACAACCAGGTTCCTCACACCACAGGTGTGTCTGCTGTCCAGGGCAGGTGACCTCTGACCCGGAACAACGGGCAGGAAGGGGCGGAGCCTCAGACAGCAAACAGGAACTGGTTAAAAATTTAAATTACGTGGATGCTCAGGTGCCTCCCCAGAACACACGTGCGCGGTCACGTGCGCGCTCCCTCTAGCAGAGCGGCGCCGCTGTGACCCGGCCCTCCGCCGTGTCCTCGTCCTCCAGCTCCCCCAGCAGCAGCCGCAGCTCGGACAGCCGCTGCTGCATCCTGGGAATCCCAGACAGCTGGTTCTCCAGGCGCTGCTTCTCCTCCTGCGACAGAACCAGAACCAGAACGTCACCCGGCCGGGTTCTGGACCGGGTCTGGACCAGAAGCGGCAGCAGAACGGGTCCGCCAGGCAGACTCACCTGCATGGACAGGCGTGCGGAGGCGTCCAACGGCTCAAACTTCCAGCCTCCCTCTCCGTCGAACTGCAGCAGGTGGGAGTGGTACTTCCTGTGGGACAGGGGAAGGTCAGTCAAGGTCAGCCTCTGGTCCTCACAAACACAGCAACATGTGTTTCTGACCAGAGGGAGGGCCGGTGGGTGATGGACAGCAGCGCTATCCCAGCATCCTTTGCAGCCTGGAAGATCTTTCCCTCCACGTCGATGCTGACGGCGCTGGTGCATTCATCCAGGAGGGCGTACCGCGGCCTGCGGGGGAGACGGCCAATCAGCTGAAGAGAATCACCACACCCACCAATCACAGCTCTCTATGATGTCACAGGGAGGCACCATGACCCCCAACGCCTGAACCGGTTGGACCTGAACTATCAGTGAAGAAGCAGTGAAGGTACCGGTGGTAGAACATGCGGGCCATCCCCATCCTCTGCTTCTCTCCTCCAGAAAGAACATCTTTCCAGTCGCTGACAGACTCCCAGCCTGAAACACACACAGAGTTACTGTGGTACCGCCGTAGAACTACTCCAGTACTCCTGTAGTACTGTGGCTGCAGCTCACTGACCGCCCTCCCTGTCCAGGATGTAGAGCAGGTGGACGGTCCGGAGGATCTCCTCCAGGTCCGAATCCGTCAGTCCCTTCCGGACCAAGTCGTCCACCGAGTCCGGATAGATGACCTGGTCTCTGAGGGTTCCCTCTGACATGTAAGGCCTGCTCAGAAACAGAACCAGTCAGAACCAGAACCAGCCAGAACCACAGTGGGAACCAGGGTGTTTACCTCTGGGGGATGTAGAACATGTTGTGCGGTTCTGGTCGGTACAGAGCTCCTCTGTAAACGGGCCAGAGCCCACTGAGGATCCTGAACAGCGAACTCTTCCCGCAGCCATTTGGACCCGTAATCAGAACATTCATCCCGTCCTCCACCTGCAACACAGAAACACGTCCTGTGACCAGAACCAAGACCAGAACCAAGAGCTGGAAGGCTCCCAGGATTTTCTCAGCTCAGTAGAAGAGCAGAATCTCAGTGACTCATCTGGACCCATCAGAACACAAAGACGGTTCTGTTTCCATCAGTTTTCTCTGGGTCGACCTTTGACCTCCCCAGAACACAATGGGATCCTTCACGCCGGACCTGATCTGGTCCTGCAGAAGTTCTGGCCCAGTCCAAGTCGACTAGCAGAAGCCCAGATCCAGAACCGGTCAGGGTTCTGATGGGGTCGTCATCAGCTGGTTCTGACCATAAACTGCCCCAGAAATTATGATGCTAAACAATAATAATGTTTTTAAAGAACATTTTCAGCTCGAATAACCATAAAAGCAAAAATAATACAGAAAAGATCAATAA